CCAGTCGAGGACAACCAGGCGAAGACGACCGGGCAAGACGGCGAGACGATCGAAAGCGAAGACGACCGCGGCGAAGACGACTGGACGAAGACGGCCAGGCGAAGATGATCAGGCGAAGACCGCCGCGGCGAAGACGACCGCGGCGAAGATGACCGCTGGCGAAGGGGACCTGCCTCCACAACGCGAGGCTGGATGAGGCACCCTGCGATGCGGGCACTCTAAGACTGCTCACAGACGCCGGCGCAAACCTCGCTCCTGAAAGCACGACTGCCAAGCGGCATCGAGCGCTGCCAACCAGACCCGGACCTCTCAAACGTCGTGACTTTGTCCGCAGCGTGAAAGCCCCCCGGGGGTCTGGACCTCCCTCCCCCTGGACCTGCTTCCGAGTCGTCTGTGGACGGCCGCAAGGCCCGGTGTGAGGGCCCCCGCAAGCCGCGAAAGCGGCAGAGACCTCCCGCCGTGATTCTGTGCTCGCAGCGAGAGGGCGTCTGGGCAGAGAGTGAGGAGCTTGGTTTGCACCACCACCACCACCATAAGTTGGAGAGGGAAGGAGGAGGAGGAGGAGGAGAAGGAGGAGGAGGAGGAGGAGGAGGAGGGCCCCCTCCCCCTCCAACTTATGGTGGTGGTGGTGGAAATCACGCCAAGCAGAGAGCGCGCGCCGCACGCCGCCTCCGAGCTCCTCGCCGATGTCCTTGGCGCCCGTGTAGACACCTCGGCTGCACCCGGGCCGCCCACGCGCGGAGCGCGGCGGAGGCAGGCCGGAGAGGAGCGCAGGAGCGCGGGGCGGCGCGCCCCTGGCACGCCGCGGCCCGCTCGCGGCCCCTTGGCAGCCAGCGCGAGCGACCACGGAGGGCAGCCGCTGCCGCATCGGAGGGCCTCGCGGCGCCGTGTGCGGGGCCAAGCGCGCAGCCTTTCTCACAGACGTCCGTACGCCCTGCTCCCCAATCAGCGCTGGCAATGAAGGGGTGGTCACGGAAGCGGCGGGCCGATCTCGGTCTGCGACCAGATTCCCGAGTTCCTGGCTCTGGGTCCTGCTGGTGCAGTGAACGATCGGTGAAGCGTTGTCGAGTTTCGTTGGGAGGCCGGGCTCCCGCGTTCCTGTTTCTGGGTCTTCGTGAAAACATCCCGGTGATTCCAGCTGAAGGATGGACCCGCGGGCTCGAATAATAGAGATAGCAGGGAAAGTAAAGAGAAGGGTATCATGGAGAGCGCGCAGCGTAGAAGGAACAGTCTGCAGAGAGTCACACAACAAAGAGCAGGGAGTATGGGATATGTTGGTGTCTATCTATATGTATATATATATATATACATATTTATATATATATAAATAGAGAGAGAGAGAGAGAAACAGCACAAGACACATACCTTAAACTAATAATAATGAAAACATGCTAGTAAACAATCACACAAGTGCAGAGAAATGATAGCATAACAAGCAGAGTCTATAATATCCGCCGGCCCCCCGTGGCGCGCCCGGCTGCGAGGCCTGCTGCTGGAATCCATCTCGAATGCCTGCCTGCTCTGGGCTGCCCCAAGATGCCCATGCGCGGGACGCCGCCGCTTGGCCAGGAAGGTCCTCCCCCCCCCAAAAGAAAGAAGCCTCGGGGACGGCTCCAGGAGGCCCCGAAGGAGGCCCCAGGAGCCCATGACGGCCTAAGGTGGCCTGAGGCTGCCTCCAAGACTGCCCAGAAGGACCCCCAAGACACCCGCGAGTGGAAAGGAACGCTGAACAACCAGCATTTGTTTTTTTCACTGTGTGTTGCGTGTGCCATATGTTGTGCCCCCCCCAGGATATGTCCAAAGATCGCCTCCAGACTGCCCTTGGCCACTTGGTAGTGCCCAAGACGGCACCTCGGCGGCACGCACAGACCCCCCAAAATTTCCGATGTCACTACACACGCTGCGCGGATTTATCAGCGCGTGCCTCTGTCGTCGTGGGCGCCGTTCTGTTTTGGAGTCCCCAAACGGTGCGGTGACAGACCGTGCGGCGACCCCGAAGTCCCCCAAGACCTCACCGCACGGCCCGTCCACGCACAGTCTTGGGACCCCGGAGGCCCCCGTCGCCCGAGACGTCCTCGGAGCACGGCCCGAGCCCCAAAACCGTGCGGTGGCCCCGAATCCCCATCGACTCACCGCACGGTGTGGTCACCACCCCGTTCGGGGGCCCCCGATGCCTGGTACATGCGTGTTCAGGTCCGGGATCGGCCCGTGGCCCGCCTGCCCATCACTGCACGCTCCATGCGTTCTCAGTGCGTCGCCATATCGCATCTCCAAATAAGCCTTCAAGTATCACACTTCCGCCTGCCTGACGCCCACTGCCTGGTCTGTCCTTTTTTCCATGCGTCATGATAGAGCAAGAAGCGACAAGCTGAACATGCGCCTGGCGCAAGACCAACCATCCGCAGTTGGAGTAGCGCAGTCGTGAGCACCGTCTTCGACGAAGATCCCTATGGGGCCATGAAGCGCGTGAGGGGTGCGCCGTACTGGGTGCGGGGGACCCATGCGAGAACCTCCATTGGGCCTTCGGTAGAGCTCCCCATGGGGCCACGAAGCGCGTGACATGTGTGCCGAAATGCGTGCGGGGGACGCATGCGTGAATCGCCACGGGGGCCTTCGGTGCGTAATACGCGCGGGGGGCGCATACGAGAACCTCCACTGGGGCCTTCGGTGGAGCTTGCTATGGGACCACGAAACGTGTGAGGGGTATGCCGTCATGGGCGCAGGGGGGCATGTGCGGAACTGGGCGCGTGGGGCGCCCACTTGTGCATTCAGTGGAGCCCCCTGCGGGGCCACTGAGGGGTGGCGGAAGCAGAGGCGGGGATGGCAGGGACGGGAGGGGGAGGGGCAAGAGGAGGGCGAAGAGGAGAAGGAAGGCAGGAGGAGGCAGGAGGGCGCGGGGTACTGTCCGTTCAAGACGAGGACCTAACACCACAGGATGGTCGGGAATAACTATGAATATGAACGCTCCTGGCGTTGTTCGCGACCAACGAATCGTCAAATATGGCCCCACGATGCCCTCCAGATGGGACTCAGAGGCCTCAAGACGGCCCCCCAAGATGGCTCCAGAGGCCCCAAGATGCACCCCGAGAAGCTCCATGATGGCCCCAAGACTATTCCAATCTAGCAACAATATGGCGCAGCCTTGGGGTGTCAGCGGTAGCGGGCGCACACCTTTAGATACAGCAGAGAGTAGAGAGCACGAAGACAGAGCGCAGAGGGCAGAGCGCAGACACCAGCAAGCATACAGCAGAGATCATAGAATCGAGAGCAAGAAGTGGAGAGGCGAGAGCAGAGAGCAGAGAGTAGCAGTCATAGGGTCCGCCGACAGCCGCTTGCCGGGGAGCGAGAAAGTGCCTGGGATGTTAGCCTGTGCCGCTTCCTCGGTTCCCCCTCCCCAGAGGTCCGAAGTGTGACGAGCTCCTCAACGCACCTTCGACGCCAAAGAGCCTTCCAAAATAGCCCACCAGACTCCGCACGCTCCGAAGGACGCCGAGACGGCCCAGAGAGAGGTCCAAAGAGCGCCCCGAGAGAGCCTCAGAACGCCCGAGGAGGGCTCAAAACAACCCCAAGAGGACTGCCAGACGGGCCCCCATGTGTTCGAGCTCAAGTACCCAAGGTGGCCTCCAACATGATTCCACTCCGCCAGACGGTCAGCCCCACGATGGCCGCAAGCCTGCCTACGGAGCCCCGGGCTGGCACAATTATTCAGCAAGCCCCGTCGCGAGTTCCCCCTTCTGGGGGTCGGCGGAATGGCGCAAGCATCTTGAGTAGAGGAGGGAAGGAGTGGAATGAAGGTAGATATCACACACATACGTGTATGCGCATGTACCCCAAGACAGTGCCTGAGGACTTTCCAACATTCTCTGATGGGCCTGTTTTCCACCACCACCACCATAAGTTGGAGAGGGAGGAGGAGGAGGAGGAGGAGGAGGAGGAGGACGACGACGACGAAGAGGAGGAGGACCCCCTCCCCCTCCAACCAACGGTGGTGGTGGTGGTGGAAAACAGGCCCGTCAGCCTCGCCCGTGGGCGCTCGCGAGCGCCCCGTGCCTCGGGGGGGGTCCGCCGAGGCGTCGCCCGGTGCCCGCGCGCGTGGCACCCCCGTGCCCTGCTGGGCGGGTCCGCCGAAGCTGCGCCCCGTGCCCGCGTGCGTGCGCCTCGTGCATGGGCGCCTCGCGGGCGCCTCGCGGGCGCCTCGTGGGCGCCCTGGTGCCCCGGGTGGGCCGAACGGCTCGCACCGCACAGCTCACACCACACAGCTTGCACGCCGCAGAGCTTGCGCCGCGTTACTCGGGCAGCGTCGGTCTGGATCGCACGGGGCTTGCACGACATGGCGCTCACCCCAGATGGCTTGCCCAACATCGCTCAAACCAAATAGCTCACGCCACACGCAACACAGCACAACACAACACAACCCAAAACAACACAACTTAACACACCACAACACAACACAGCACAGCACAGCACGACACAACACGACACAACACGACACGATACAACACAACACAACACAACACAACACAACACTACACAACACACCACTACACACCACAACACAACACAACACAACACAACACAAGAAAACACCATCAACATTTGCTCGTGCCACCCACCAGCTCGTTGCTTTTACACTTCACGTGTGAACAACATATTGGCGTTGTCTCTGGTGTTCTTTGTTTGAGGGCGCGAGGCGAACAAGCCGACGGCTGCCACGAAGAGGGTAGCGGTAGACAGCGAGACAAGCGTCGCAGGCAAGCTCGCAACAAGCATCGGGGAAGGGGCAGCGAGGGATGAAGAAGCGAGGGAAGGGGAGGGAAGGGGCAGACGACGATTGTTTCATTCCAGAAGCATGCCTGTCGCTGCTCTGTGTTGCAGGGTGATCTCTTGGACACGCTTCGCTCCGAGTGCCGCAGCCGGCGCGGCGATGCTGTACACTATCCACCCGCTCCAGCACAGCGGACTCCGCACCCCTCTCGGCGACTGCCGCATGAGTGCCGTCATCAGGCCTGCGGCGGAGCGCCAGCAACCTCCCTCAGAGCTGCAAGGTACCGCCACGGCATGTGCGCGCCTGTCATGTCCGGCGCGAGAAGCAGCTCGCCAAACTCCTCTGCCTCCGCCTCCCGCACGCGCCGGGGCGCTCCCGCGGCGGGAGCGGGCATGTGCAAGAGGCGCCCGGGGGGGCGCAGCTGGCCCTCTGCCGAACAGGCCGCTGCGCGGACCACCGTGTGCGCGGCCGCCAAGGACTCCGCGTCGCCGCTGCGCTCCCAGGCGCCTGCCCGCTCCGCAAGCGGGGCTCCGTCCAGGCCGAAGGCGCGCGGCCTGACGGTGCAGAGCAGGGCACTCTGCAGGTCGCGCGCCGTGGCCAGGCTGAGGCGGGGGACCATGTCGTCCTCGAGGATGACGCTCGTCGTGTGGTTCCGCAGGCTCGCCGCAAGGAGAGGGTCCAGGACAGGGGGGCAGGCGAACGCCACGCAACGGACGTCCACGCCCGCGAGGCGCCCAGAGTCCCGCCACAGCGCGGCGACGAGAGCGGCGACGCCCGCGCCCAGGGAGTGCCCGCAGATTACCACCTGCCGCGGCCCGTCGCGCAGCTGGCGCAGGCCCTGCTCCGCGAGCTCTGCCAGGGCGGCCTCCAGGCCTCTCCGATCAGCCACAACTGGGGGGGGGGGCGTGTGCTCCTCACCACCCTGGGTGGGCCCATCCCCCCGACGATCCCTCGATTGGGATGCCGAAACCGATGGGGCACCTGGAGGGGCAAGGAGCACAGCTCCCCCAGTCATGGCCTGCCCGCCTCTGGCCGCGCGCAGCATCCCGCAGTGCGCCTCGCCGCTCTGCCCGCCCAGCTCCACCGGCACCGGGTGGCACACCAGGTCGGTCAGCGCGTCGCGGGCCGAGCCCGTGCCCCGGAGCGTGACCACCACGCAGCCCGAGCAGTGGTCCGCGGCGACCATGTACGCCGGCACGAAGACGCCGCCCGACGAGCCCTGCTCGAACGCCACCACCTCCACCTCGCCGCTCACGCCGGCCCACGCCAGCGCGGCCGCCGCCTCGCCGCCGCGCGCCCGCTCGGCCCACGCCCGCTGCGCAGCGGCCAGCAGCGAGGCGCCCTCCACCTGGGGAAACCAAAAGGTCCGCCACCGTGCCTGGTGCACGTTGAGGTGTGAAAGAATACCAAGGGCTGTCTGGTAGGGTTTCTGTATTCAGATGACGACACTCCCCCTAATAGCATCTCCCTGCATGCATCGCCCCCCCTCCCGAGGCCACGATCTCTCGTAGAACAATCGTGGATCCGCACTCCCGAGGCCACGACCCCGTCCAGAGTTTCCAAGGCGGCCCAATCAGGCAACCAAAGACACCAAGATGGCCCAGGATGCCTCGAAGACGGCCCAATAGGGACCCAAGGCGGCCCAATATGGCCTCAAGACGGCCCAAGATGGCTCCAATAGGGCCAGAAAGGGCCACAAGAGGACCTCCAACAGAGTCCGAAGAAGCCAAAATCATTGATTTCCATGTTGTTGTTTGAATGATGTTCGGATTCTCGCCTTTTCGGGCTTCCCTCAACTCAAGACGGCGCAAGAGGCCTCTACGATGGCTCCGAGACGGCCGAAGATCACCCCAAGCGGGTCCCAAGAGGTCCCAGGATTGCCAAAGAGGCACCCAAGAGGGCCCCTAGACGGCCCAAAGAAGGCTTCTCGTGGGACCCAAGACGGCATTAGAAGGCCTTGCGACGGCTCTAGACGGCCTCACGACGGCACCCACCCAGACACCCACCATACGACCAAGAGGGTCCAAAGACAGCCGACTGGAGCCAGAAGACGGTGTAAGGGGACCCCCCGACGGCCCAGGAGGGCCCAAATGGACCCCCAAGACTGCCTCTCAAGAGGCCAAGACGGCCCAAAGACGGCCCAAACAAGTTCCATGAGACTCCTTTTAGAATGAAGGCGAAAGGTGACACATTTGATAGTCTTCCTCGTCTTCCTCCTCCTCCTCAGCCTCCTCCTCATCCTCCTCAAGTTCCTCCTTCTCTTCCTCCTCGTCCTCCTCCTCTTCCTCTCCTCCTCATCAGCAGCAGCATCATGCTCATCGTCCTCATCATCCTCATCATCCTCATCATCATCCATATCATGATCATGATCATGATCATGATCATGATCATTATCATCATCATCATCATCATCAGCATCATCAGCAGCAGCAGCATCAGCCTCATCATGTTCATCATCATCATCGTCATTATTATCATCAGCATCAGCAACATCATCCTCATCATCAGCATCAGCATCAGCATCAGCATCAACATCATCATGATCAGCAGCATCATCATTATCACCATCATGCTCATCCGCATCAGAATCGTCATGATCATCATCAGCATCATCATCATCAGCAGCAGCATCAGCGTCACCATCAGAATCATCCTCATCAGCACCACCACCCTCATCACCACCATCATCAGCATCAGCATCATCACCACCACCAGCATCCTCCTCCTCCTCATCATCATCAACGTCACCATCATCAGCATCACCACCACCAGCATCCTCCTCCTCATCATCATCAACGTCACCATCATCAGCACCCGCATCGTCGTCATCATCATCCGCATTATCAGTATCATCATCATTCATCATCATCATCATCATCATCATCAGCATCATCATCATCATCATCATCATCATCATCATCATCATCATCATCATCATCATCATCATCATCATCATCATCATCATCATCATCATCATCATCATATCATATCATCATCATCAT